GAGGGGTGTGTCCAGGGGGCGGGGCCTGGGGACTAGGGGCCGGAAGGGAGCGACAGAAGGCGGGGCTAGAAAGGGGCGTGGCGAATTGGGGGAAGAACGGCGGTGGGCGGGGCTTGTCACCAAAGGGGCAGCGAGGGCGGGGCTCTCACTTCCGGGGGAACTGGACCAGCAGCGTGACGGCCACTTCCGCCAGCAGGTCGAAAAGCAGGAGTTTGTACATCTCCTGCCCCAGCCGAGTCTCCCAGCACTGGGGAAGGAAGGAGGGGTGAGGGGGACCCCCAGGGCCCGGAGGCCCAAGCAGCCGAGTCTGAGAGGGTGAGACGCTTTCTCCGGGGGTCTTCCGTTTTTTCCAACGCCCGTACCCCTTCCTCAGGCGAGGGTGTCCTAGTACCCTGGCTCCACCTTCCCCCCAAGCCGGGAGTCCGGACGAGGGCCCCCCGTTCTCCTCACCGGCAGTTTTTTGTAGTTGTAGCCACAGGCTTTGCACGCCTCGGCCTCTGCGCCTTCGTCCCTGCAAGTGATCTGACTCCAGAGAGAGGAGAGCAGGACCAGCAGGGAGGCCAGGCGGAGGAACATGGTCCTGGCAAGGGACAGAAAGGGCATCAGCCGGGCCCAGTGCCAGGCCCCTCCTGCGCGCGGGACCGCGCTCACGGGTCTCCCCATTTCACAGATGAAGGAACGGAGGCTCAGTGACGGGGATCCGGGGCTGAATCCAGGCCTGACTGGATCCCATCCATATCGTTTGGGTTCCCCCGTCTTTTCTGCTCGTACCTCCGCCCACCGGCCTCGCCGTCACCCCCAGCCCACCCCCCGAAGGAAGGCTGGAACCTGAGCAGGATCAAAACGATCTGGTGGCTCCTGGTGAAGCCCTCTAGCGGGGCGAGGAGCTTGAACACGGGCGGCAGCACCAAGTTGACCCCGGAGATGAAGATGGAGGGGAGGTAATCCACCCCGAGCTTTAGCAGCGCCGTCTCCTTGACAAGGGGCAAGTCCTGGGAGGGAAGGGGCCGAGAGCAGCGGCTGTGGGGTCCTGGAGGAGCCACGCTGGAGGAGACTCTTCCTCCCATACCCTGAGGTCGGGGCGCCAGACATAACCCCACCATCCCGCCTCTAAGATCCCAGGAGTCATAGACCTCAGACCCCTCCGCCCTTGGAAATGTAGGTTCCAGGGCCCCCGCCCTCCTGCCCCAGCCCCTCCGCACCTGCAGCTTCCTCGTGGTCCCTGTAGCCCAGTAGATGCCGTAGAAGGCGGCCCCCAGGAGCGCGGCCACCAGCAGGTTGAGCAGCGACCGCACCGACCACACCCTGACCTGCTGGCCCAGGGTCCGCACCGCAGCCCGGCGCCGCACATCCGCTTCCTCCAGCTCCACCTGAGTCGGGGAGACGAGTCCCCTTGGGTGCCATTTCCCCAGGCCCAGAGCCCCGGCTCAACTGCAAAGGATGTAGCAACACCCTTCTAGGGACTCCGATCATCTTTGTCTCAGCCTCTCCAGGGCCCTCCAGGTGACAATTTAGGTCTCCTGGCCCCGCCCTTCCAGGCCCCACCCAGCATCGGAAGCGCGACCACCGGCGGGCC